GCTGGAGTGGCCGGACCGCCGCCCCAGCTCAAGGACCCGTTAGACCCGCAAACCGCAGTCCCTGCCCCGCGGGCTTCCTTTACTTTTTGGGAGTGGGGCGGGGTGGGGGGGCTTCCCTGCTTTTTCCACCACAGCCGCTTCTCCCGCCGCAATGGGGCTGATTCTTATAAAAAGTTGTATTAAAGAGCTGACTGCAGCCGAGAATCGATCAACAAAAACGACCAGCCTCTCTGGGTAAAATAGCTGTGCGTTTTTCAGGGCACTGGAATTGATCTATACGTATCAGAAAGACACCGACAGCCCGCTCTCAGCAGCTTCTTGGATGCTCTTCACTTTCTGTCCAGGCACATAAACACCACGGCACCAACCCTCCTTCCTCCCTAGTAGCCCATACTTGTGGAGGAAGAAAAGGAAAATAAACTGACATGTATTAATTACTCACAATGGGCCAGGCACCGTGCTACAGTGCTATGTATATGATTTCGCCTCTTTAGAATACAAATCTGCACATTTTATTAGTATTAACTGGAAGGAGGGTGGTAGAGAAAACAGTAAAGACGTGTTTTCTCTCACAATCTGACATATCTATGATTGAGTGATTGATTGTTTTTCATTTAACAATTATTAGGCCTTACCAGGCTTAGCAGGCACAGTTGTAGGTGCTGGGAATACAGCGATGTACAAAACAGAAAAGATACTGCTTCTTGACGTTCTAGCAGGCAATTGTCATTAATTCCTACTAACAATTTAATAGTTTGTCGTTCTTTTAAGTCACACTTCTTCAACTTCCCCATTTCTGAATCCCAGGTCTGGATCTTTATGAAATCTGATGGGAAGATGGGGTTGGGGGGACGGTGAGGGGCAAGTTGCCAGGAGCAGGAAGGAACATCCACCCGACTGTGACTAAGATGAGCTTTATGCCAGTCCAGGAAACAAACCATTTGACCTTAGGCAAGACTTTTAAATGACTAGTTTTTTCATCTGTAAATCAAAGAGGTTCAATTAAATGTTCAAAATGTTCCTTTTCAGGTCTATCCATGGCCTTCTCAACAGATGACTTCAAGTTGATTTCGTGCTTTATTTCTTAAGAATAGTGACTAACCTACGGGATCTGATTCAATTTATTAGGAACACAGTGCCACCTTCCAAAATTACTTACCTAAGAGGACTGAGCCTGCTGTCCCTGGAGCAGTTAGCTAAAACAGTGCCTCAGTACGGAGTGTACCTGTGTTAACTTCTAGAGTGCTGTTTCCGGCAGCTGCTGAAATCCACGCTGAGGTTATCAAGCTCATCCTACAAAATAAAGCAAGTTCTTTGCAATTTAAAGCAAAAATCTGGGCTCATTTTTAGAGTTTTGGGGGATGTGAAAGTTGTCGTAGGTAAGATTCCAGGAAAGCTAAGAACTAATGATGCAATTACAGTCACTTTCAACAACTTTGGGGATTGGGTTGAGGAAGGTGTGAAATTGGGAAATATAATAAAAGGCATTATATTAGTGACTTTCTAGAGTAGCCCTTGGCAGTCCTGTCTTTAAAGAGTAATAACTGGAAAAAAAAAATGGATGGTAATATGCTGCATCCAAGAACCTTGCCTCTGGTGAGGGTAATTTGCAAACGCATTTTGGGATAATATTCAGGATCCAAGTATAATCCTCCCTGGAATTAGCAATGCCTTTTGGGTCAGAGTTTCATAGGTTTCTTCCATCATACAATTGAAATTGTTTTCGGATTATATTGTCCCTATTTGTTTGTAATTCTCCATTTTGCCTGTGTTTTAATTGCTAATGATTAATAACTGCCATATAATAAGCTAAGCATTTATTATGTTTCAGGTACTGTTCTAACTGCATTAAAATAATATCTCATTTAATTCTCATAAATTTTGAGAAAGGTTTTATTATTTCTGTTTTACAGTTGAGTAAACTGTAAAAGTTAAGCATATTGTCCAGGGTGCCTCAACTCCTTAGTCATAAGCTCAATTTGATCTGAGTGATTCCAAAACCTGTTCTCTTAATGGTTATGCTGAAATGCCCTTCTTAGAATGATTCCTCAAGAAGTCAAATGCTATGTATATAGTACAACCACTTTGGAAAACTGTTTGTCAATATCTGTTAAAGGTAAACATATGAAAACCCTATGGCCCAGCAGTTCCACTCTTAGGAATATACCAATGTCACATGTGTGCCAAAATACTATTAAATCACTCAGAACAACCCTATTCATAAATAACCACCAAACAGGAAATAACCCAAATGGTCATAAGCAGTAAAATAGGTAAATAATTGGTGGTATAGTCATACAACAGAGTACATTCTACCACACTAAGAATGAACAATCTGCTTCCAAATGCAGTAAAATATATGAACCTTACAAATATGCTAAGTGAAAAAAGGGAGACGTACAATTGCAGGACTCCATTTATATAAAGTACAGAAACAGACAAAAGTCATTGATGCTATTCAAACTCAGGATAGTGGTTACCCTTGAGAGAGAACTGATGACTAGGAGAGAACACCAATCAGCTTCTGGGGAGCTGGTCGTGTTGTTTCTTGATGTGGGTACTGGTGTGTTCAGTTTGTGAAAATTCATTGAACTGTACTATTGATATATGCATCTCTGTGTATGTAAATTACGCTTCCATAAAAAGCTTTAAAATGCTGTGATATATAAATGCATGTTGAGTATTGCTTGTGTACATATGAGTACCAATATAATACTTTTTTTTAATGATGACACTACCCGATGCTTATCAATAGTCAAATAGATAAATAAGATGTGGTTTATTTGGGACATAAAATGAAGCTGGAAACCATCATTCTCAGCAAACTAACACAGGAACAGAAAACCAAACACCGCATGTTCTCACTCATTGTGGGAGCTGAACAATGAGAACAAATGGACACAGGGAGGGGAACATCACACACTGGGGCCTGTCGAGGGGTGGGGGGCAAGGGGAGGGAGAACATTAGGACAAATACCTAATGCTTGCGGGGCTTAGAACCTAGATGACAGGTTGACAGGTGCAGCAAACCATCAGGCACATGTATACCTATGTAACAAACCTGCACGTTCTGCACATGCATCCCAGAACTTAAAGTATTAAAAAAAAAAAAAAAAGACGTGGTTTAGTCATACAATGCTATTTGCCGAATTTGTGCCCACTCTTAGCCATCACCTCTCTATCAAGGGTAACCACTATCCTGACTTTTAGTAGCATAAATGACTTTTGTCTGTTTTTGTACTTCGTATAAATGGAATCCTACAATGCATTTGCTGTACAATGGAATACCATATAGTAAACCAAGATGAAGCATAGCATATTATCAGATTTCTTACTGAGTAGCATGAAAGTTAAAGCTTAAACTTGAAATGGCCAGTATGAATGAACTCATAATTCATACCAGCAAAAGCTTAGGTGAATCCTTTGCCCAAAAGATTATAGTTGATAAAGAGTAAAGCTAAAGAAATAATTCCAAAAGAGGTTGCCTCTATAGTAGGGAAAACACTCAAGTGGTTCTGGAAAACACAAAGGGAAAAACTTACATCTGTGTTCAGGAATAAACTACTTAACTCAGGAGAGCCTCTTCAGTTGTGCTATCTTTTATCTGAATCAATGATTAATACTCAAACTACATCTTGAACATTCAACCTTGACTAGTCAGAGAATACTATTATAGCTCAGTGATTGAACTGAACTCCAAGCCTCACACTAGTAAAAGCTATTTTTGTATCAGACTTTCTAAATCGCTAAATTTTTATATACCTCTGTCTTGCACTTTGTACTCTGCCAACATGGTAATTATTAGCACATCATTCTTGATATTACATACCGGTTTGTAATATTTGAATTTAATTTATTAGGAAAATTGATTTTAACTCAAGGCAGCTAAGGTTTATGTTTTGGTCATTTATAACTTTCAGTTATTTTGTGTGCATTCCTTACTGAGACCAGGGTAGAACTGAGGTGGTTAATGGAGCTATCTCTAAGCCATTTCCAAGTGAGCAAATAACGAGACTAACACATTTAACATCCCTTCTTTAACCCCCATAAGTTGTTTTTAATAATAACTATTCCTGGGGTGAAGTGATAACTTGCATTAACTGACAGGTAGCCCATCAGCAATAACATTGTTGTAACTTTGCCCTAATTATCACCTGCTGTTTTAATTTTTTTTCACGTTGGAAGTTGTTTTTGAAACTGCAGTTTTATTGTTTAAAAAAGGGGGGAGGAGGAGATGAGTGGTTCAATTTTCTAAATGTTGTGTTTCCTTCAATAATATTGCACGATAAACTTTCATCATCTCTGCAGGTGTCTCTGATGAATGACACATCGATCAACTCATATTCTTCAGACTCTGCCATATGAAGCCAATGAAAGATGCCTGCTGGTGACCAAATGATGTTCATGTAAAACGGCCGTTCTGGCAAATTTAATAAGCTTTAGATTTCTTTAAAAAACCAACCAGTATTTCTGTCCCTTCTCAAGGCAATGTTTTCTATTTGAAGTTTCACTTGACATGACCAGGTGGGAAAATTGATGAATAGTCGTAAGAAAAAACTTTAAATGACTCTTTAAAGCTACCAGTGAGAGATCTCAGTATTTATTACTGATCATGAGTCAGATGATCAATTCTTCTAATAGATTTGGTAGATGACTTGTGATGAATTGTGATTTTTATTTTTATTTGAAGAGCAGTATAAATCTAAACTGGTCAGACTCAGATAACATCCCAGTTGAAGAAATTATCAACCCTTTGGAATTATGTAAAAAAAAAAAAAAAAAAAAAAAAAAGTTATAGCCCAGACCTAATTGCACGCTTCTATTTACAAAGCTTAGTATAATAATTATTTTGTATTTCTGCTGTGTTCAAAGCCTTTCATGGTCTTGCCCCAGTAATCTTATCAACTTCATTTATTGCAGTATATATTAGTATATTTCTATGCATCCTAGCTCCTTCCCAGAAGAAACCCACACCTTTGCTCATGCTGGTCCAGCGTCCTACAATCTCCTTTCCTGCCATCCAGACTTGCTGAACTTCCACCCATCCCTCAAGACCAATTTAACCATTAAGGCCAACTCATCCAGAAAGCTTACTTTAGTTATGACTTCCATTCAGAATTAACAGCTTCTTCTCTGCTTATGTGACACTTTAATTTATGAATATTTTAATATGTTATTAAATATTTCAAAATAATATAATGAACAATCATGTACTCCCCAGTAGCGTAAGAAATAAAACATTTCCAAAATACTTGAACCCTCCTATGTATAATACTGATGTCAGTGGCTGCTTCCATCATGCCTGCTGCAGCAGGGAAGCACAGCTGGGGCTGCACACTCCATGGAGCAACTGGGAGCCCTGTGCCTTTTGAATTGGGACAGGAGCTCCCGGAGCCACTGCAGCCACCCAAACCACAGCCGCAGACCCAGGCCTCCTGCTGTACCGAGCAAGCAAGGGCCCCATCCTCCTGAGTGGGGCTACAGCCACCCAAACTGCAGCTGTGGATCCCAGCCTCCCTGTGCTCTTGAGGGAGCCAGGAAGGGGCAGGATCTACCTTCCTGGATGCAGATACCCGTGGCTGCAGACCTGGGCCTACTGCTCCAGGAAAAAGCAGGCAGGAGCAAGGGACATGCCCCTTCTGAGTTGGCGGGGCAGGAGCTCTTGGGAGCAGCTGCAGTCGCCTTCCCAGGTGCACAGGACCAGGATTTCTTTGCAGCCTGCACCCTCAGGTGCCCTAGGAAGGATCCCCCCACATCTCACTCCCTGCAGGCTTAGGGGTATCTACTCCCACTGTCTGGCCTCTTTCTGCTCCTGAATCAGAGCAAGGTTGGAGTCAAGCCTTGGGGCCAGGAATGGCAGTAGTAGGCAGACAGAGTTCTGGGCAGAATGGGGCAGGGTCCCCAGTAAGGCCCCACCCTCAGGCCAGGGAGGGCTTGAAGGCTGGGACTAGGTTGTCAGTCCCTCCAATGGAAGTGGGGACTCATGGTGCCTCTTCCATGGCCACCCATGGCCACCGATGGGCCAATCGGTAGGCACTTCCTCCTCTCTGAGATCCATAAAAGCCTTGGGCTCAGCCAGAGCAGGGTAGAGGACGGCTAGAGGACGAACAGGGAGAGATCGGGATGGGACGACCAGCTGCAGAGAGAAGTACCCTCTCTGCTGATAGCTGGAGACAATGGGGTGACCAGTTGCAGAGAGGAGTACCCTCTCTGCTGAGAGCTACAGATATCACCTGCCGGCCAAAAGGAGCTACCCTCTCTGCTGAGAGCTTCAGAGACCTGCAGAGACGTTGGAATGACTTGACCACAGTGAGGAGGCCCACCCT